TTCATCAAGTCCCTTATGAGCTTCGGCAAGAAGCTTAGGATTTAGACTGTTATACTTTTGCTTGCAAGGCGGGGCATCACCGGTGTCAATGTGGTGCTCCACACCTCGCAAACATCCAAGTCTCTCAGTGTCCAAGACAGGCCTAAAGTCAGCAAGAATTTCTTCAAGTTCAGCACGTTGATCAGGAGTAAGGACATTGTCTTCAGGTTCTTCTTCTTCAGTGGACGCAGAAAATACTTCGGCACCGTCGACGTTGACTTCACAAGTGTTGCTAACAAAGTCGGGGCGCAAGTTGTAGCGCCTCCAAAAATCTAAGCCTAATATCATGTCAGAGGACAACTGAGGGACGAAGAGAACATCTACGATCTTGGTTTTGCCGGCCACTTCAAAAGGTACAGAAACTTCACTTTCAATGGGGGCAATGCCCTTGTTGGCTACTTTAATATATTGAAATCTCTTGGGTGCATGAGCAGAAAGTCCAGCAGACAATAATATTTTCATACCTTTTCGTCCTACTAAAGTTCTGTTGGAGCCACTGTCCAGAAGGCCTACGACAGGAACACCAAGAACAGATACAGACAAATATCCCCGCCGGTCCTTCCCCAGCCGCAGTCTTAAAGTCTTCCGTTTCAAGTTTCTTCCTACTGTGGTCGAGGATTTCGAGGAATTCGACCTCCTGGATAAGCTTGAGCAAAGCGAGGGTCCAGATGGGGTGCAGGGTTTCGAAAAGTAGCTGGGGGAGGGAACTGTGTCCAGTACGGGGCTGGCCTCTGGAACGAGCTCTGGCTTGGCCCCATCCAGGCTCCCGCTAAGTTTCCCGAAGCAACAGACCAATTCCCAAGTTCAGCAGCACGACGACAATTTGGACAAGATGTAGCAAGCACATCAGGCATACCACAGACAGTGCAACGAATACTATTGGTACAATTCGCACCTAAATGTCCAGTTCTTCCACAACGCCAGCAAGGAAGCAATCCTGGAGTATGCAGAGGGTTCTTGGTTTTAGCTTCAGGAGTGCTAGAGGCAAGGGCAGATTCATCTTCAGAAGAGCTGGAGGAGGATGTACTCTTCTTTGCAGCATAAACAGCGGGGAAAGAGTCTGGAGTCCTTTTCTTTTTGTCTTTTTCTTTTTCCTTTTCCTTTTTTCTTTGCTCCCTCTTCTCCAACCGCATCAGGTGCATCTTATCAGGTTCATGGGCCTTACATTCCCTTCGCAATACACTCAACGAGACCATGTCCTGACTCTTGAGCCGGCTTCGGTAGTAGTAGTGAAGTCCATTTAGCAGCTTCCGAAGTTTTTCTCTATCTGTAGGTGCCTCGCTAAGTCTCATGAATAACTCTTCAGCACGGGCCTCGTAGACCGCATACGTTTCATCGGAACTCTGGCGCAAATTCTCAATCTTCTCCCAAATTTCGTTATCATTCCCGGCAGGGTTGAAAGCTTCCTTCAATTCTTTCTTGAACTCCGACCAAGTCGTCAATTCATGTTTCCTAGCAGTGAACCAGGTGAGAGCGTTTCCTTGTAGTAGTGCGCCCATGCCTCCCAACAAATCCTTGCTCGAGTAGCCGTACATCTCGGCTGCATTATCACACTTGGTTAGGAACTCATGGAGATCTTCTTCTTTCTTGCCTCCGTAGTGGTAAGGGAGACGGGAAACTTCCCTTACTTTCTGCGAACGAGACTGTCGGCGGTCATCAGAAGAGGCAGAGGAAGATGAACTGGTTGAAGTCGAACTGGAAGCACTGGAGGAACGTCGCCTCGACTTCTTCTTGGTCTTCTTACCCTTCTTCTTCTTACTCTTTTTCTTAGAGGAGCTGTGCGATGTATGCTTGCTACCCGTCGAGCGCGATTCATGAAGAGACAAGTGTGAGAATCTGGCATCTAAGTCATCGTCAGGCAGGACAAGGATGGGATACTCATACATAGGGTAAGCAGCCGCGCATGCGGTTTGCACGCGGTTGATTCGCTTGGCGATCTTCAAGAACTCATCGGTCTCCCCACGGAACATGATGCGGCGAGTACGATAATACAAGTGAAAGAACAGAGCGTTCAGCCTCTTCGAAAATCGCTGAACGCCGCAATTCTCCAAAGCAAGCACTTCTAATTCAGCAGTCTTCATTCGTACTGCTCTCAACTCGTCTGTTACATCCAAAGCTTCCAGTCGATGAGTCACGACTTGAGTGCCCCACTGTTCACCCATCAGTCGGCATTTATCTTGAAGGCTCAGAATCAAGTGAGGCGCGGCTCGAATCTCCAACTCGTAGTCGAGCTCGTCAGAGCACAACGCATAGAAATCAAGGGGCACAGGGACCCGAGCCATGATTGATTTCGAAATAGTTCACACAACACAAATATTAAAGTCACTGTCTTAAAGTATCAGCACAATCAATGTAGATTTACTGAAATTCACTTGAGAAATTCTTCGCCCCGCAGCACTGCGAGGGCACAACACCAGAAGAAAACCGCACACAGTGCACAATCACACCAAAGCCACAATTTTTTTTTTTTTTAAAACAAGTTTTTTTTTTTTTAAGTACAGAATAGCATAGCATCACAAACTAAGGTGAAGAATAAAAGAGCAACCTAAGAACAATATGATTGCAGGTACAACTAAGTCTTTGTTGAACACAAGACAAAACACAATAAGGTTACAATTTAAATTTACTTAAAAGTAACAGCTTGAAGCTGTGCTAGGATAATTGAAAACAAAAGCAATGAAATATTTAAGAGTGGACCAGCCACTGAGAGGGAAATTGAATAAAATATTTGCATAAAAAGAATGAAAGAAAGATGCCACCACTCAAGAATTTAAAAAAGCACTGTACAAGAAAAGCTAATCACGTTGGGCGCCATTTGTCACGGCTATGCTCAGGGTGTTGAGGCGCGGGTGTTCCACAAAGGTAGCTTTTCTCGGACGCCGAGTTGTCCTGGCCGCTTTACATATGAGTGTGGATTGAATGAAAAAGTGCTTCGAAAAACAAGTAAGAGTAAAGTGGGGCGGAACTGCACAGTAGTGACGACTTTTGTTTAATGGGCGCCAGGCGGATAATAAAAGAATGAAGTTAAATAATGATTGATGAAGAAGCAATAGCAAAAATAGCTAAAGAAAAGAATTTATATTAATATCCGCCGCCGTCACTAATGCATAGTTTTGAATAGATAAGATATAAAGTTTATATTTAGAAAGATTTATTAATAAATAGGTTGCAGAGTAGATGATGAACAATATGAAATACTGGTAAAGCTAATCACAATTGTGGGGCTGGAACCCACGCGCATAGGGTACAATAAATCTTTAGACAAGTAGGCAAAGTAATGCAAAAACAAAAGCATCACAAAAACACACACAAAAACAATAGCAAAATCAATTACCACTGATAGCAAAGCAGAGACGGTACAAAAACTATCTATGATAAAAGTATCCCCTTTGATAATAAAGAGATATAAGCCAGCAAAGTAAAATAAGCAATTATCACAATTGCAAAGTTGGAAATTAAACAAGCCTTTATACAACACTACAGCAACACGACTCAAAACAGTCGACAGTAAGGGCTTAAATCAATCAGATATATAGCAAGATAGCCAAAAAGCAAAGCTGCTTGAAATAAATACGAGCACAAATCAACTCAAACCAAATTCAGACATAAACAAACATTGCAATGCACAAGGGATAAAGCAACATTCACAGAAGCATAACACAGCATCATAAAGGCAAAAAGCATTCACAAAAGCATATAGGGGCATAACGCAGCACAAAGCATATCTACAACACTTCACGGCAAAATCACAAAACAGTGATACTAGAGCCAAACAGCAGTGGCAGAAAAGGGATATGTCCCATAAACGGGAAATCGAAAGGAAACAAAACGTGCACGAGCGAAACAAACTCAGAAACCGAGTGTCGCTAAATAGCAAGTACGCCTGGCCAGCAGGCAACCGCGCGTTCAAAAATTGCAGCGCAAAAATACCCCTCCCAGAGGGTCAACAAAAGCTCAAAAACAAAGCTCGGGTTGATAACAAAAACGAACGACACATACAGCCGTACATACAGTAACTACACACTGCAAAAAGTAATTTAAAAAGAACTAAAACAAGTACTAGTACTACCGCAACAAAATTGAAACAACAGCACGGACACTCCGAGCGGTAGAATTACAGAAACAAAGCAATTGCATAAAACTAAACCTTGGCCAAGGAAATAAATAAACTATTGAGTGCACTCACCAACGTATCGTCTAACAGCTACAGACAATACAACAATTTGGAGCATGGGGGCGCCTCCCACGTCCGGAAGACAACGGTACACAATCACCGCATTGATAGAGAAGCAGATCACGTCATCAGATGGTGACCTTGAGACACAAGACCGTTGAGGGCGGGGGTCGTAACTCCCAACACATCAGGGCTTGAAAGGGGCCGAAACCCATGGTGGCGTGGTGGCGGTGGCGTGGCATTCTTCTTAGGCGTTGTGCCCTCATGGCAGCAGGGCGAAGTGGGGGAAGCCTAGCCCATCATGGCGACAGCTAAGGCCCCGGCGAAGCGGCCCTGGGTTAAACAAAACGCAGGTGATACAAACTGCACGGCAAAACCCGCAGGTTTTCCGATAAAAATATGCCAACCACACACACACACCTTTCGGGCTTGATGAGATGAACAACTTGGACACATGATGATCAAGATGAACAGGCACTTCACTTTAACGCCACACACACGCGTCTGACGAGTTGACTTTGTCAGAGATCCGCGCGCGTCAAGAGTTCCAAGAAGACTGGCTGCTAGGCGGCCGTCCGGCGCGTTCTCTCTCGCTCGCTGGTCGGGCGAGGGGAGGAGAGGTGGGGGGTCTTCTGCTAGGCACAGCGCTGGCTGTCTCCGTGTCAGTTGCTGGCGGAGGGGGTCGGCGGCGGCTGAGAATCTCGCCGGAGAGCAGGGGAAGGCAGATGGGTTGCCTAAGTGGCAGGCGCAAAGGGCACGGGGCCGCTGCACCCGTGACAGCCCCGACGCCACGGGCCACGGCGGCGGCCAGGCCAGACTCTGTGCAGCGCACATCGGGATCCGATTCTCTTTATCCGAGGAGGGAAAAAGGAAAACAAGGCGCAGCAGGATGAGATTAAATCCCCACCCTGCTGCCAAACTACACACATGCACGCCGTACGCCCCCGCAGCCCTCCCGATGCCCGTGCTTTAGCAGAACATTTCAGTCCCCTTTGGTGGTGGAGAACACACCTCTGAAGTCGTGCAACTACCACGAGAGGAGAATTTTACCCCCTTTCAGGAACAAGGCTCCCCTATTCCTGCGCGCCCCCACTGTAAACGGATTCGCCACACGTTATCTTTGTTCCGTCTGACTCACCGACGGCGCCCTTTCACCGGCGCCCCCATCAAGAGGCTCACCCTGCCGTGCCCTTCTCTGTAGGCAGCGCAGGGGGGTCACTTTGCATTTCCTTCACCGCCCCGCCCGTCCCCGTCCATCTACCGCCCCATCCCTCTCGTCACACTGCTTCCGCCCCGCGACACTTTGTATGCGCACGAGTAGTCCATACCAAAGCCCCCTTCCACAACCAGCCACCAGCCTGTGAGCCCCATGTGCCTGCAGGCGCGGCCTGTCCAAGGGCCACTCTGAGCGCGCGCGCGCATGTGTGTGTGTGAGTGCGCGCGCGATGCGGGCCCTAATGGACACACACACACACACACACACACACACACACACACACACACACACAAACACACAAACACGCCGCACCTGGCTGTAAGCTGCCTCTGCGTAAAGTAGCCCAATTTAACGAGGCGCACCGGATGGCATCACAATCACACGTGACTCAGCCCCCCGGCCCCTTCTTCCACCGGCCCCCGCGGGACTCGCCACAAGTCGAGCCGCATCGCGTCGCATCGCATCGTTTACTCGGAATCTTCATCCTGCTGCTGCTGCTGCTGCTCGTCCCTAACGTCGTCCTCATCTCACACAGGAGCTCGCCGACGACGCGATGGCGTGCGGACGTGCGTGAGACATAGACGAATGCACGTCGGCCGTCGGCGTCGTCATCGCGGCCCCCACGCAGGGGCCTAAAGCAGGGGTCCCGGCTACGTGGCTCTCGAGCCACCCGCGGCTCGGCTGGCTGGGTCCGTGACGTCACGAGAGCCACGGGCGAGCCACAATGGAGTCTTATGGGAGAGGCGAGCCGCGGACGAGAGGCGGCGACGGACGGCAGCCACCGGCAGCCTCAGCTCAGCCAGTGCGAGCCGAGCTGGCCGGTGACATAGTCTGTCTCTGTCGCACTCACTGATCTTTGCATAAGCCTGTCTCTCTCGACCCTGCCGGCCCGGCGTGCGCTCCCCGTTCGTCAACGGCTGGCTGTGCTGTCCAGCTTGAGGCAAGGGAGCACACCTACGCGGACGCTTCCGAGTAGCTGACAGATGGCATGCGAAAGCGCTCTGTGGCTCGCGCGCTCGAGTTAGCCGGGACCCCTGGCCTAAAGGGAACTCCCGACACCTCCCGACAGGGCGGGGCGCGGGGGCGGCGGGCAGGATGACGACCGTCAGCGTGTCGCCAGCGCACGTCACCCCGCTGGTCATGGCGGGGGCGCGGAGGAAGGCACGTTCACGAGGGAGGAAGGGGGCCGCGAAGGGCGTGACGTCATCCTCCCCCTAGTGCCCGCGGCCACGACAGCGGCCTCCAGGCCCCGCGGGGCGGACCCCTGTGGCGAGCGACAACAGGGGTCAGATGTCGCGCAGCCCCGAGGGACGGCATCATCACGAGGAGGACGAGCTGCAGGCGGACGGGTACCAGCGATAAGAATGCGGTGGTGCAGGGCGGGGAGGAGCAGGGTATGTGACGGGCAGGGGACGGCATATCGGCGTGTGCGCGCGAGCACGTCGTCGTCGTCGGCGACAAACATCGCAAGGACGTCCACCACCGCCACAGAGGACCGCGACGCAGGCCCGCGACGAGGAACGTGGGAAGCGAGTAGTAAGACAGAGGAGGAGGAAGAGGAGGGGTGCAGGGAGGGATGGCGCTGGACGACACGTCCGAGGAAAAGAAACACGGAGGAAGGCTACGGTTTTTATGCGGGAGCCCGGGCTCGGCACGGCGTGGGGCAAGCGAGGAGGAGGAGGACAAGAAGAACTTCCAAGATGGGTGATAAAGCGAGCTGCACCTGTGGTGCTCGAGTGCGGGCGGGGCGGGGCAGGCGGGGCGGACCTGGGCCACACAATCCACACGTCCGCACGGTACGTCTTCCTTATGAGGCACCACACCATATCATGCCTCGTCCGAGCCGAGTCCGAGAAACAGAGCCCCATAGCACCACCACCACCATCACCATCACCAGGGCCTCGTGCCTCGGCCGAGCACTCCACACTGGGTCCAGAGGCGCGACTAAATTGGGAGAGAAACGGCCCCATTCCAAAACAAGCTTCTCCTCCCTCTCCTCCTCCCTCACGTCACGCCTTTACGTTCTGCCTGCATCATAAAGGAACGCCGCCGCCGCCGGTCCATTTTCAGATAGGTCCACTCCACACTCGGCAGGGCGCGCCGGGGCGGGGCGCACAGTCGGGAGAGAAGAACGCCCCGCGACGATATACAAGTCTTGCTCCTGCCCCGATCCCCGCCCCACCCCGTAAGGGCTTGGACTTATGAGCGCACCCCATTACGGGCCAATCGAATGTTTCAAAATGAAATGCCGCAGCAGCGAAGCAGAAGCACTTATCAAGAATACATGTATCAGGATTGGGGCCTCAGATGCAAAAATAAAAAGGCCGCAAGGTATGTTTGTGTATTGCGCCGTCGTGGTGGTGGGCGGCGGGTATCACGTGACCGGGCCACGAGAGACTACTGCCCACCTGATAAGCAGCAGCAGCCACCGAAACTGGATTGATAAGGAAATCAGTGGGGTCATTAGTATAGTAACGGACAAACTAGTGACGACACGCTATTCGGAGTTGTGGATGGGTCGCACAGGGAATGGAATAGGGTGGTGGGCAGGGGATGGTGAGTGCCATAGGGGGGTTGGTAAGGTTCCTTGAAGCGCGCCCAGGCGATATAGACACAGTTTTGTCCGTCGTGACGGTAACGAGGCGAGGTATAAGGTGAGGTTAGAAACGGGGCGCGGCGGGGCGGGCACGCGGGCACGCGCATCAGATGCGGAGAGATAGGGAGTCTTCATCTCGTCGCAACGCAAGTGGCCGCGGCGGCGGGCGTGCTCGGCATCACGGAAAGTGAATTACGCTCGTAACTCCAAACCGCCGAGGTCCTCAACCCGCCCGGCCCCGCCTCACCCCGCCCCGCCGTGTATCACCCGCAGGGGGCATGACACGGCCGGACCCTCCGGGGTCACGACCTGATCACGACCCGTACGAAAAAGTTTAGTCCGGCATCAGTCCGTTTTCGGTCCGCAAAGAGTCCGGCTGGACAGTCCGTCATCAGTCCGCAAAAGCGCGCGGACTAGTCCGCGAAAAAAGCCAGATCGACCAAAAACCGACCTATTTGCCGGACTAGTCCGGCTGGAACTAGTCCGCTTTTGGTGCGCATCCCCGCC